ATAGATATAATTTTCTTAACAACAGATATAATTCTGATTTATCTTAGAACACTCTTTAAAGAATAAAATACCATTTTCATGATTTATATATAAAAACATAATAATTAAGCAACTACGACTAGATCAAATGGATATACTATTAAAACGCAGGTATTTGGTGGTGTATCATTTCATAAAAAGGATTACATATTTGTTTTTTTTTTTTTTTGGGGGTTCACAAGTATTATATATAGAGTATATAGACACTTCTCCAATTCTAAATACAGGAGCTAATTAGAGAGTTAGTTTTAGTCATAAATATGATGCTAATATCTTAATTCATTGTTTTATTATATTTATTATTTTTTCCAAATTAATTTATTAAACTTATAAACTTATATAAATATTGAACTTATAAACTTATATAAAATATAATATTATACAGTGCTTTGTGGAGGTCAAGTCAAAATTGTTAGAATTAAGTAGTTTGTTTAACTTCTTTAATTTATTCAAATTAATTAACTCACTCTTACATATAATATAAAAATTTCGTTGTTAAATTTGTAAGTAGTACAACTTATCTATATTATGTTATATTTGGTCAACATATTATTACGTTAATCGAAACAGAAAATGCTGTGACATAGGTATTTGGAAAGCTTCAAGCTCTGTACTACATTTTCGTACGGAGTCATTGTTAGCCGTGTATACTTTTTCAAAAAATATACATCTTTTAGTTCCAAAATTACTAATTTTAAATAATGATTTTTGTAACAATCATGGTTGTTTTAAATATTAAACTTAATATGTTAGTATTTAGTAATATTTTATCAACAATTAAGAGTTTAATATCATTATTTTTTGTTAATATTTTTAGGATTTAAAGACTAAAAGTTTAGTTCTTAAAAATTAAGAGACCAAAATAAAACTTTATATAAAGTTAAACGACTAAAAGTATATTTTAGTTTTTTTTTTTTCAAATCAAATTGTTTTAACTAAGACTAAGAATTAAGAATTAATTCTGACGAGTTAATGCGGCGGAGCGGAGGATAAAGAATCAGAGAATTAAGAATTATAAAAAGAAAGCACAACCGGGGCTCACACGCCTGGCAGGAGATTGATTGGGACGGTAATAAAAATAATAGAGTGGAAATAGTTGGCTAAAAGAAATTCTGTGGGATTCAAAACATAAGTATCAAATAACTAATTTAAACAATCTAAAAAGTTGGTTAAAATTGATTAAAAACAATTAAAGATATAAAAAATTTAACTTATATTTCTAAAACACCGTTATTTGTGGAAATGGTGAAGGGGAGAGAAAATGAGTAAAAAAAATAAAAGAGAATAGGTGAGAAAAAGATATGAGCGAGGCATATATATAATTAATTATGGGTAAAAATGTAAAAAATGCATTACATGATCCAATAACTCTAAAGCGATGCTTATTAGAAAATCAGACCTCTTCAAAGATCTGATGCTTATATTTTGAACAAGGGGAATAGTATATCAGAAATAAAAAGGACTTTTCAGATCAGAGTAGCGGGTGATCAGTTAATATTAATTAATGGCATTATCGTGAAAGAATCAAAGGCTTAAAATGATGAATATTTCTTCTGGATGTAGCATCTTCCGTCACTTCATATGAATTGTGACTACCTTATGGATCACACGAGTCATAAGAGCTGTGAAAGAGATTCATTTAATTTACTATTTTTTTTTTGAAGTCAAGACAAAATAATATATAACAAAAGAAGTGTCTCAAGGTTACAATAAGATAACGGGCCGATAAATTGCTTTAAATAATTAACAAAAGAGGGCGATGAAACAACATGAATAGAATAAGAAGAGAAATTAAATAAAAGAAATAAAATTTCCAGCCAAAAATAACATTTGCCAGAGTGGGTAGGGATGTGTAGGAATAAGGTTGAATTTTTTCTACATGCAAGAGATTAATAGGACTTTTGAAGCAGTATCAAGAAGGTTAGAGTTGTGAATCCATAATGCACGAAGACACTTGCTTAAAAAAAATTGGACTAACTCCATAGTTACATCTCCACGAAAATTTCTTAAAGAACGAACTTTAATAGTAGTTGGCTCCATGACATTATTGATTCCTTGATTGTTTTTAAATTTATGAAGGAAAATATTCCAAAGCTTGTGGTTATAGTGATTTCTATTTGAGGAATTTGAAAAGAAAAAATCTCTTCTCATAAAAGAATTAATTACAAGAAATTGTGTCTTGAAAAACAAAACTATTAAAAAGCCACTCATCACTCAATTGTATTCCTCCCCCATTTTGCTCATGTTGCTCACTCCCATTTCATTTAATTCCTTACAAAAATATAAAAATATTAGATACAAATTAAATATTAAGTGTAAGTGCATATTTGGCTTGATGTGAAAAAAAAAAAACAACAGACCTAGGGAGTGTTTGGGATACCGCAAATTAATTAAAAAAAGGATTTTTATATAAATCAAAATAAAACTCCTCTCAAATATTTATTTTGTATATCGTAAAATCACTTTTAAAATTATAATTTGGTTTTTATCCAAACACCTTCTTAATAATAAATATGTGCATAGAATGACTCTTCAGCTGAAATATATTGAGGTTTTAAAGTTAAAATCTTATATTCTTAATTCCTTACTCATCATCAATTTTTTTGGGCCTGTAGTTGCATTTCCATTGGATTGCTTACCCACACATAAATGTAAGGAAGAATAAGAAAAGTTTAAAATTACTAAATTCTAAATTAGATTTGATAGCAATACTTTTTTTTTTATAACTTAGAGTATCTTGTCAGGCCAAGAGCATTGTTCTCTTAACCAATGTACTTTTAGGGATTCAAATTTGTGTTCTCCTCCTTATAAAAATAAAACCGCTTAATATCTCAATCAACAACTTATTGGTTAGTAACAATACTTTAATAGATTTTGATAATATTAAATTTACAAATAACAATATATTTTTGTTTTCGTAATTTCAAGTTTCTTTTTTTGGAATTCTGTCTAAATGTACAGATATAATTTTTTTGAAAAAAATCGAACATAAAATAATATTTGGCTACCTGACATCTTGGATGAGCCGCCGTTTTAACTTCCTTCCCACTAATTGCACGTTATGTCCACTAATTAAAAGTTAAAACTTTTTTAGACTTAAATTTTGTTTCACAGGGTAAAGATCGATCTAGCATTGAATAATATTACTTATTTTTAGATGTCATATTAGTGCATATGACATCTAGTTGTCTTTTATTATAAATTCCGAATGCTTTTGATTTAACTTGAAACTCGAGGAGCTATGAAATTATTAATTAGAATTATTTCCGTATTTTTAAAATCAATATTTTACTGATTACTAAATATATTATACTCCTAATTATTATGCCCTTGCTTGTGCTTTTTTTTTTTTTGGAAGATATAGTTGCGAGTGCCTGATCGAATTGATCGGGTCATGGTAAGATAGACTTGGCCACTTATCATGGGGAGGTCCAAGAATGATGACCCATCTTCGCCGCAACGCGCATGATTTGCACATCAACTTGTATTTGCATTTTTTCCTAATTAAGCACAGCTATACTTCAGCTCAAAAAAAAAAAAAAAGCACAGCTATACTTTGGAGGTAATCATATTTCAGACATTGTTGGGCATGAAATGTAGGCACTACAAATGTTTTTAAAATTTAAAATCATAATAATATTACTCCTTACCATTAAAAATATTAACGGTCTGTCAATGTTAGTTTTTTAACAATTAAAAATAATATTACTGCAGTGTGAGAATAGTTTTATCTCGACTTAGGGGTGTTAGAAACATATAAAAGTGCTTTTAAAAAGCACTATTTTACAAAACAAGATAAATTCTCCATATATTTACTTCATATACCGTAAAAACACTTTTAAAATTATGGTTTGATTTTTATTTAAATACCTTTTTATATAAAATATGCTTATGAGTAGTTAAGTGCTTTTCAACGCGATTGCAAGAAGGCCCGAGCAAATTTAATTTGCATGTTAATCCATCTAAATATACCACCAATGTTGTGACTTGTGAGTTGGAGGTAAGAGTCATGTCCCCATTCGCTGTTGGCTGCTTATCTCCTAATCCCTCACTGCAAAGCTGGAAATATAGGCGCCCTCAGTTTTCAACGTTCCACGTGTAGTCTTCCCCTTCGTTAATTTGAATAGATTAAGAAAATAAATTAAATTAGTTACTTATAATAAATAGGTATTATCTTTTGTAAAGTATTTTTACTAATCAAGTTTATTTGGCTAGAACTACTATTATTAAAAAAACTATCTTAAAAAAATTCATAAATATAACAAATTAACAAATAGATTTAAATCTTATATTTAGAATCATAATACTCATTTATATTAAAGATAGGATTTATTCATCGCCCCACCATTCCTGAATCCCAACGAATCTCAGGAGAAAAGGGTTCCCCAGTCGCAGATATTTGGCGTGGTAAACACTGGCCATATCCGGACATCTGTCCTTAGTCCCTTGGAATCTTTCTCATCCGACTATTGGGAATTTCTATGAGGGTCAACCTAAGCCAAACTCGAGCGTGTGGTTTGGGTCCGCCGCCCCGCCAACTACTTCGAAGGAAAACCACTGGCGGTTTTTCATTTCCCGAAAACAGGAACCGGTTTTTTGTTTTTATAGCACAAATGACGAGAATGGAGACCCACAAAACAAAACGCACTTGAAGCTTTCTAACTAAAGTATTCAAAGTGCATCATTCATCAGAAAGCCTCTCTCATCAGGTTCTTCTTCTTCTTTCCATAATCGTTCTGTGAGTTCCAGCTTGTCGGTCACACAATAAGCACTTTTTATTTCGATTTTTTTTTAATTTTATATCTGTTTTCAGTTATATCTGTGGTTCTTGGTTGAGAATGGTGTTTTTGTTTGAGATTTTTACTTTTATTTTTGTTTTCTGATGAATTTTTGTAGCTTTACTGATTTGCTGTGAGCTGTGGTTGATCTGGAAGGTGAAGGTGTTAAGAAGCCCTAGACGCATGGGGAGAGGGAAGATTGCGATTAAGAGGATTGACAATTCAACAAACAGGCAAGTCACTTTCTCAAAGAGACGAAGTGGTCTGCTCAAGAAAGCCATGGAGCTTGCTATCCTCTGTGACGCTGAAGTTGGGGTCATCGTCTTCTCCAGCACCGGCAAGCTCTATGAATATGGAAGCTCCAGGTTCCTCTTCTTCCCACCTTGATCTAAATAATATACTTTGGATCTCGTTTCTTTCTGAGATAATTAAACTTTCTTGAATGTGATGATATTCTGGCCGATACTGTGTAGCTGTTTTGTGCTCCAATAAATTAACCTTTTTCCGTATATCGTGCGATCTTGTAATTGATGCTTCAGTTTTCTATGTTTTTTTTTTTTTTGGGCTGCTCTCTTTCTCTTATATTTGCTTGCTTGGCCTTGAGATATATATATATATATATCTATATATCTGTGTGTGCGTGTGTGTACGCATAATATCAGAATATATATGATCAACATGCATGCGTTTGTGTTTGAATGGTGTTATTTTGAGATTTTACCTTGTCTGAATAGTGAAGTTATCAGTAAACAGACATGATCTTTGACGCTTGTTTTTCTCCTTTTTCTCCCACCTTTGTTCTTTCTATTGTGGCTCACTGTCAGTTTGAGACTTTATATAAGAAAACTTATGTTAATTATGTATAATATATATATGTACTTATATGGGTAAAGTAGTGAGACCAAACTTCACCTGTAAGTATCCAAAGTAATCCCTCACCAGACTGGCTAACTTTTCCGGTTAAACTGAACTGCACTGCACTTATATGGCTTTCGAGTATACATATATAGATCGACAGAACTACAAATACCTACACAGATAAAAAGATATCTCTTGTATACATACACACATAATTTGGTTTGATTAAGATCATCCAGATGCGGCTTAGTCGTCCTTGTTAGTGTCTGTGTGTGCGTGTATCATCTTAAGGTTGTTTTTAAATCATGAAAAGGATTTGTTCATAGTGGAAACATGGTTTGGGTTAGTATTAACAAAGATAGGTTTGGTTTCTACAGTAAGTTGCTGCGACTTTGATTAGATATATATATATATGAATGAGTTCAGAAAATGTATGGTCTGTTATTCTAAAAGGATTGGCAATATTATTTGTAGTATAAATAAGCTTTACATCAAGAATTAGCTCTAAACATAGCAATATTCCAGTAGTGCAGCAAGGTGAAAAGAGTTTTATATTTAAAACCGGAGGAGTATTATCTAAGTCTAAAATGACTTGTGTGTATCCATCACTTCGCTAATTGTTTATTTAGCATAAATGCTTACAATTGGATAGGTTTTGGTGTGTATTATATTGGATAATTTAATGAATACAATAGCTCTAAACATAGCAATATTCTTGCAGTGAAATGAGTCTTATATTTAAAACGGGAGAAGTATTGTCTAATTTGAAAATGATATGTGTGTATATCCATCACTTTGCTAATTGTTAATTTAGAATAAGTGCTTACAGTTGGATAGTTTCGGTGCGCATTGCACAATTTAATGAGTAAGTACTCATGCATGTCATTTATGGCCAGTGAATAACGGAGTTTAGTATAGATTTTATATTTCATACTACCTCTGATCCTCAATATAAGAGCTACCTACCAAATTTGAGTAAATTAAAAAAATTAGTTAAGCTAATTATTTATAATAAATAAGTATTATCTTCACTAAAATACCATGATAATCAAGTGTATTAGCTAAAAATACCATTTAATGAAATTTTTATAATGTGCAACTACTACAAGGACTACCTTGGGAAAATTTGATAAATATGAAAGACAAAATAAATTGGAGTCTTATATTTATAACTAAATTAAATATCAAACTAGCTCTTGTATTAAGAACTAAAGGTAGTATTTTATATTAAGCAGTATTTTATAAGTACAAAAAATCGATATCATATATATATGAGTTTCCAGGGTGGAATTATTGCATTGATTACTGATCAAGATTATCTAATACTACCTCCTGTCTTTCATTAATATAAGAGCTACTTAACTAATCTGAATTACTTAAAAAAAATTTGTTAAATTAGTTACTTCTAACAAATATAAGTTGATTTTGATGAAGTACCCTCTTTAATCATAACTATTCTTAATAGCAACCTTTTGACATGTGCAATCAATAGAAATACTTTTAAAAATGAATTATAAATTTATGAAGACAAAATGGATTGAAATCTTATATTCAAGACTAAATTTAACTTCTAACTAACTCTCACATTTATTAAGGAACGAAGGTAGTATTGGTTTACACTGACAAAAAGTTAACTTGATTTTCATCTTATTGATTGAATTGATCTCTACTTAATATGGCAGTCTTAAGTCAATTATTGACCGCTATAATAGACACAAAGAGGAACAGCATCCACTTATGAATCCAGCTTCAGAAGCCAAGGTACGAGGACGAATTAATACCACTCCCCAAATATTTTTTAAGGTTTAATTTCTTCATATATAAGTCAATGTTTAGTTAGTAGACACTCATTCATAAATCATAGTCCCTTTGTTTCTGGTACTTGTTATAAAGACTTCCCTTATATTTTATAATATAATATGTTTTGTCTGAAATATTCATTTTTTTCCACTTAATATCCCTAACTAGTTATAAAATTTCATAAATAATTAACCACAATTCTCCAATAATGATTTTTATTGAGGATAATCCTAATATTTTGCAAGATATAACTAATTTTAACTAACTAAATTAATTTATGTGTAAATAATTCCAATCATTAATACATATATGTGCACTTGTTAGTGTTACATTTAACTCCAAGCAAGATTATACTACAAAAAGAAAGGAGTGATAAATGAGAGGCTAGATTAAGAGAAGAAGCAAGGGGAAAAAATAGCAAAAGGGGGAAGATTCAGGACTTGAGATTTGCCAGGAAAAAAACCACATCTAATGATGTGAACACTATTAGAAACTAAAGTGGATCTAGAGAGAAACAGAGATATATCAAGGGTGGCATAGGCGTTACTTGTTTCTATCGACACACATTTCTCAATAGTACGAGATTCTATTGATACAGAGCCAATTCCAATAGATTTAAGAGGGTCCTATTGGCCTGCATCCAGTAGCAATTGAACCTATTGACAAATTAAATGAACATAACTATCTATCCACTTCTCTCAACAGTCCTTCTCAAAACTTTATTCCTGTGTAAATTTTATATACGTCATTGTAAAGTTTCTCATAGACTTCTTGCTTCCTGGAAATTCAATCCATACGAAAGATGAATCATCTTCGTTTCATTCATTCTTCTTCCTTATGCAATGTACAAAATTGTTTTATTTGTTATTTAATACTACTTCTGATCCTTAATATAAAAGCCAGTTTGACATTAAATTTGGTTCTAAATAGAAAACCCTATTCCACTATGTTTCTTATATTTATCTATTTTTTACCTTGTAGTCGCATATGTTAAATATTTCATCAAATGGTAATTCTAGACTTCTAGTTAATACGCATGCTCAACAAGGGTATTTTAGAAAAGGCAAAACTTATTTATTACAAATAACTAATTTAACTAATTTTTTAATCTACTCAAATTAGAACATTTATTTGATATGTGTGTGTGTGGTTGCACTTGGTAGTTTTGGCAAAGAGAAGCAACAGTCTTGAGGCAACAACTTCAACATTTGCAGGAATTGCGCAGGTATAATAAGTAAAACTGATACATTGGAACGAGAATTATTAAATTCTGGTAGCAAAATGTTGATTTCAACATAGAAAATGCAGCAATTTCACTAACACTACTTCTGAACTCACTCACTCAACTATCATGAAGTTTATTCAAAACTGCGATTATTTCACTCCTTTTACACACACACACTTTGAAATATGACAAACTGGAACTATTATTTAGTAATCCCAAGTAATTTATTTCCTCTTGGAAAACGTAGGCAATTGATGGGTGAACAAGTTTCTGGTTTGAGCATTAACGAAGTGAACAATTTGGAAAATCAACTGAAGATGAGTTTAAAACGTGTCCAGACCAAAAAGGTACGATAGTTCATCCAACATATATCTCACCATTTTACAGAACAAGTACTTAATTTGATCATTAAATTATCCCCATGTTCAGGATCAAATCTTAACTGATGAGATTAAAGAGCTACGACAAAAGGTATTCAATAAATTCTCCCTCTCTGATCTTGCCATGTATGTATGAAAGGTATTCCCACAAATTCTGACTAATTTATTGATGCTATTGCAGGGAAATCAAATTAGTCAAGAAAATGTTGAACTCTGTCAAAGGATACAAGTCATCAAGAAGGAAAATGCAGAGTTAAAAAAGGTGATTAAGTTGATGAAAACATATGTTATCGAATTATATCATACACTTGTCTTCTCATTCATATGATTTAATTACTTCAGTCTCGCAATAGAGTGTGCACATATAGAGTTAAAGTTCAATTTTGCCATGAAAGGTTTCATGTAAGAGGTGTGGATATATGATTTAACTCTGCAAAATGAGCAATATCACTCTTAGTCATTAAAAATGTTAACAATCAACGTTGTTTTTCTTAGGTTAAGGCGAATTTGCTCTTTTTTTAATACTTCTGGAAAATATTGATGCTAAAAAACTTTTTAGATATCCACAATTTCTACACGAAAACTTTCAAAGTAAAATTGCACATTAACCCTATATAGACACACACCATCCATTGTGCCTGTGCTATATATGTGTTTAAAAGCTAAATGTTTCGACTTACGTTTCAAAGTCTAAATAAAGTTTTATTTCTTTTAATTAGATTTGTGAGGAAAGAGCTATGAATGAAGAAAATGAGAGTTTCAGTGCACCATACACTAGCAACCTGCAGTTGAGCCAGCAGCCACAATCTGATGAAGCTAGTGAGCCACCAACCAAAGCAATGGAACTGGGGTATATTATATTCCTTCAAACTCATTAATATAATAAACACACAACACGCATATATATATATATATATATATATTTCTGGTCATTCTTAAAATTACAGCTAAGCATTTGATTCCTATGACTACAGATTACAGCTGCTTTAATTTAGCAATAGCTGTTTGATCATTTAGGATTTTCCGACACCGTTTGCTACCACAACTTTCCTGTGGGAGGATCAAGTTTTCTTCTATGGGGAAGAGACAGGTATGTTTCAATTCAAAAAGATAGTTAGTTATTAGATAATAAACGCATCAGGAATAGCATCAATGCATAGTTGATGTTCTATCAGGAATCATTTCTGTTATGTGTGTATGGAACAGACACATTAATTGGATATATCTGTAAATATTTCGATATTAAAGCTATCAAATGCGAGTAGTCCTTAGAAAAAATCCCCAAAAAGTACTCCTCCGGTCCTTATTATAAGACCCAATTTGACTTTTTATTTGGTCCTAATTATAAGACCCAATCCACTTTCTCTCTTATATTTATGTATTTTTTTCCAAGATAATCCTTCTAATAATGATAGTTTTAGCCAATATACTTAATTAGCAAGGATATTTTAGGAATAATAACACTTATTTATTATAAATAACCAACTTAACTTACTTCCTTAATCTCCTCAAATAAGTCAATTGGGTCTTATAATTAGGATCGGAGGAGTACTTCTAAAATTTCAAAATCCCAAATCAGAAATAACTTCAAAAAAATGTTGTTATTTGCTTTTTAAATATTGTCATTGTTATTAAAGTGTAGTAAATAAAACTGATTTGAAATTTTGAAATTCAAAAGCCTTTTTTTGGGGTTTCTCCTAAGTCGTTATTCCTAACCAACGTAAATTTAAGACACATAATTTTTTATGTACCACTCCAATTCTAAATGTAAGTCAGGGAAAAATTTTGGTGCTAAATGTGAGCCACTTGCAGTATATTTAATACCTGTTGTCCAATTTTACAGTACCAACATTTAGTGTTTGATAGTGTCATGAATAGATTTTCAATAGAAAAATACTTGTGCTTAATTAAAATGAAAAGTATAATGAGATTGACTTTTCTTATAGGGACACAATAAAAGGGTAAAATCTTAGGTCAAATTAGCAATATAATCAAGAGATTTTTGTACTCGATAAAAGGAGAGAAGCTAAGAGGCAAGTGATGTAAATATGTAGTGAGTTTGATTTTCTTGTTTTGCCAACATATAGTGAGTTTGATGAACCAACCAATATAAACACGTGAACATTCACTGTTGTTGTATATCGAAAATGTTACATAAAGATATTTAACTAATTATTAGTTAAAAGTTAGTCTAATTCATATTTATCAATATGGAACGATATTACTTACATCACACCCAAACAGTGAATTTTTCACAATAAATCAATCGTAACCACTATATACGATAGATACATATGGCTTTATTAAACCAAAAAATTCATAAACAAAATGTGTAAAATACCACCTCCGGTCCTTAATATAAAAGCTAGTTAACTAATTTAAGTAGATTAAGAGAATTAGTTAAGTTAGTTATTTGCAATACATAGGTGTTACGTTCCCTAAAATATCCTCATTAATCAAGTGCATTAGCTAAAACTATCATTTGATGTAATTTTTAACATGTGCAACTACTACAATGATTACCTTGGAAAAAATAGATAAATATGAGAGACAAAATATATTAAGATCTTATATTTAGGATTAAATTAAAAATCAAACTAGCTCTTATATTAAAGACTAAAAGTAGTATCAGAGCTAATTGACTAATTTGAATAGATTTAAAAATATTGTTAAGTTAGTTATTTATAATAAATAAGCATTATCTTCCTTAGAATACCCTTGCTAGTCATGTGTATTAGTTAGAATTACCATTTGATAGAATATTTAACATATGTAACTATTACAATTTACAAGGACTATTTTAAAAAAATGATTAAACATGAGACGCAAAGTAGATTAGGGTCTTATATTTAAAACTAAATTAAAAGTCAAACTAACTATTATATTAAAGACAGAATGTAGTATACAGGGAATCATCTTTTTAGGAAGTAGACTGCATATATACACGTTTCTTAGGTGATTACGTCAAGGTATTACATGGTTAAGTACGTTGGTTATTTACCAAAAAGTCCTGTTATTTAATATAATAATATCTTCTTTACTGGTTTGTCATCTATCTCTTCCTGGTTTTTCTGGCGGGGAAAACAAATACCCTGCTCATAAAAATGAGTTTAATTAAAACGAATCACAAAGCACTAACCCATAAAACTATTTATGGTTACAAATCCCCTCCCTTGACTTTAATTAGTACGAGGGAAAGCGATGAGAGAGAAAAAATATTAATGAGTTTAATAATTAACTAAGTGGAGTTAAAGGTTTTTAATTTGTTTTTTTACTTTTTTTATCTTAAATCTTCTTTTTATCAAAATTTTATAATCCTACTTCTTTGATTTTTTAGATCAAGTTTATTAAATTTTTTTCTTTTGCCCCTCTATTAACAATCAGAATCAAATTTCAAATACGTTTGTAATTACTTTTAAGTTTTAATAAACGTATTATGTGGCTTGAAGTAAGGAGTGTGATGGGGGAATATGACTCCAACTCTCCAAGTCCGTGGGATAAGCCATAAATTATTAAACTATCATTTTATCGTAGAAATCTCTTAACTTCAATAACCTTGACTATGAAAACACGTTGTATATTTTTAAAATAAATATTTAATCATTACATATGTTTTTGGGAAATTTTAAAAAAAATGATAGTCGAATTTATGATATCCAAAAAGTCACCTAAATTTACAAATTTCCAAATCAGTCATTATCACTAAATTTGAATTTTAAAGTATTAGTGAATTTACAATGTTATCTAAAGCTCCAATGGGCCACCTGCTAGCAACTAGCGTCAAAGCAACGGCAGCTAGGAACTCTTTTTTTTTTTTAACATTGATTAACAATTTTTATAATAATATTTATATTTTTATTAACACTATTTACCACATGTTTTCTAAGTTTTTAAATTGGCAGGGTTTTTCAACATTTGTAAAACGACTCTCACAATGATATTTACAATTTGATTAACTCTATTTATCATGTATTTTTTAGGTTTTTAAATTGGAATTTTTTTAATATTTATAACATGGTTGCTAACTTTTATAACAATATTCAGAAGTCTATTAATGTCATATCAACCACTTTATATGATATGTTTTTAAACTTGAAAAATTTAGGAAGTGGCTTACCTTATGACATTAGTGGAGTTGTGAATGTCATTATAAAAATTATTAATCACGTAACGAATATTAGAAAAATCTCAATTTAAAAACCTGAAAACACATGTTAAATAGAGTTAAGGGAGTAGTGAACATCGTTATAATAGTTCGTTAATCACATTATAAATGTTAAAGAAATTCCAATTTTAAAAACCTAAGAAACATGTGAAAAATAGCATTAAAGGAGTTATGAATAGCATTATAAGTTGTTAATCATGTTACAAATATCAAAAAAAATCCCCAGAAAAAGTTTGGGGCCGGCAGTCCATCAAAGCTCTACCACTGTTTGTTCGCCAGTGGCCGTTGGCCAATGAGAGTGACTTGAGTTTCAAAAAAAAAAAAAATAAAGAACAATACTGTAAATTCACCAACATTTTAAAATTCTAATTTAGTCATTATGACTAATTTGAAATTTTACAAAATCAAGTGATTTTTTAAAGTTTTGAAAATTCAATTATCATTTTTTCAGAATTTTCTTTATATTTTCACAGGAGTCAAATGAATAGTACGTACAGATATTTCAACAGACTCAAACATAGAGCACGAGTTTCAACTTGTGACCTCCCTCCTAAATAGGGGGTTGGTGCTACTAAATCCAAGAGTCTTTAGCTATTAATTCATGAGCTAAACATTTACTTCATTATCTTCATATGCCGCAAAGTTATTAAACAACATTTGAACAAATCTTATGCATAACCATGAACAATGGTCTATTCCATGCAATGTATGAGTATAAACAATAAGTGTCTAGAGGACAACGAAATTACGGCAAGTAATTAATATGCTAATTGTGGGATTTGTGATTTATTTATTAGTTGAAGTGGAGATATAGAATAATGTTGATCAAAGCAATGCAAATATTTTTCTAAAACTTTGTAAGGATAAAAATAGAAAATAGTTGTAAAAAAGTGGGAGGAGGAAAAATAGAGAATAGAGAAAAGTGAGAATAAATGTTTTCTCTTCTTATATTTTGAGAAAAATTAAAAAGGCAAAAAACTTATCATGATTTAATTAATCAATTCAATCAACTAACAATATATGATCAATTGAATTCTCCAACTATTTTATGTGGCAAATAATTGTTTAACTTTAGGTTAATAATAACTCAAAATAATTTTGCAAAGCTCAAAAATTTGACCTCAAACTAAATTTTTCAAATATGGAAAATGTCATTAATGGGCTTGAATTAAACTTTCACCTCAATGAAGCCCAAATGAACAAATTGAAGACTTAAAACACATCTTACGGCCCACTATCACTAAGCCCAGTTCTTCACTGTTAGATATTAGAATTCGGTCTTCCTTCTTTTTTCCTTCCAATTCACTTATTGGGGCAACAGATAATACAACGCGGGAAACATTAAACAGATCTGTTCCGGCCCCAAAGAAGGATCTAAAGTTAATTCATTGGCCCATTAGAAGGCCCAAATGGGGAGAAAAATCATATTTTTGTGTATAGATATAATTGTTTAGGTTCTAATTGTATTTTTTTTTAATATTTCTCTTAAATTATTGGAAAAACTAATGTGGAGATCCTTGCAATTTATTTTAGTTTTCAATTAGGTTTTTAGAGTTTTTTTTTCTTTTTATCAAGTGATTATTGTTTGTTTAGTTAATTGAGTTAGTACTTCCATTTAAAAAGTCTTTCACATGCTCGTAGTTAAACTTGACAGAGATGATGTGGTGCTAAATAAGATCTGTTTAAGCGCACATATGGACATAGAATGCAACGTGGACTGAGCAAACACAAGTGTGGAGCCAAGTTGGGGTGCAAAGAACAAAAGGCAAAAGCTGCTTAGAAGTTGGAACGAGCTTGGGTTTGCAGCCAGAAGGGAGATCATTGACTTGTTCTGCAAAAAAGCAAGTAAAGTCGCCACTTGATTCTTTGAA